TACATACATACATACATACATACATACATACATACATACATACATACTATTCTCATTTCAGATAAGCAGTGTTATGGAGAGCACACAAAGGAAGGAAGAAATAGTAAGCCAAAGATATTAAAAGCATGAGTTAAGATAGCATTCACTATATATCGGTGTAGCCCCCTGATTTTACAAATCGGTGCCAGAATTCTGCCGATGATCTTAGGCATAGGCATACTTAATAAATTTCCTAGAGATTTTGCATTCAGTTTTTCTGCCTTTCCCTTTGTACAGGGAAATCATGATAACATTTTTCTAATTGTCAGACACAGATGTAGTCTTCATCCTATACTAATCACATTGTGAGGTGATTCCATTAGAAGATCGCATATGTTAATAATTACACCATTAGTTACACAGTAGCCTTATTATTTCTTAACATTCTTACTTATTTATTAGTTCATTTTTATGTTTTTCTTGGACAGTAACATTTATAGCATTTGTTTCACTTCCACACTTTGACATATCACTTTCATTCCCATACAAATCCGTAAAATGCTCCTTCCAGCATTCCCTTTTAGTTTCATGCCAAATCATTTCATCGCTTATTTTCAAATCTATTTGCTCAGTTGGAAGCTCTTTATTTACCACTCCTCACCTACTTTTAAAACATTTTATTTCCATCAAAATTATTCTGCATTTTGTCTTTTTCCTTTGATTGTAATAATGCCTTTCTGTCTTGGGACTACATTCTTTGCAATATTTTTTCTCTATCCATATATTTATCTAAATTCTACTTTATGCCACTTTTAAAAAATAACTTGAACATTGGAAAGAGTTCAACAAGGTTAGAAATGCACACTTGAAATTTTGTCATGGAGGATGGGGTTTTTGAATTGATTTGGACCAATGATACATTTACTAAAATATTTGCATCTTAATTTTTGTAAATCATGCTCATCTAAAATGCAACTTTTTATCTTAAATATTGTATATGTACAGTTATATCGCTTTGTCCAATTAAGATTGGAAGTGAATTGAGGTGTGTTTGTTTAGACAAAAAGAAGTGTTTGATTTATACTGTATCTGGCTCTAGTATCGGGAAACCATTGTTCTGTTTTTGTTATCCAAACAAAATTATTTGTTACCTGATTAATTCTGTACAGCTCAATACCATCTCTATCTCTTATTGTGTTTTTACAATAAAGAATCTGTGTTCCCAACTGTCCACCTGGTCACTATAGCGCAGACAAGAAACGTTGTAAAAAGTGTTCACCCAACTGTGAAACATGTTTTGGAAGTCACAGTGATCAATGTAGTACCTGTAAACCTGGTTACTTTATCAATGAAGAATCTAGAAGTTGTATTACCTCCTGCCCAGACGGCTTTTACCTGGATAACAGTAAGATTTTTTTTACATTTTTCAGTTGTTATAATATTGGAAGGAACTGTAAAATTAAATACTTATATGCAGTACATTCAATATACTGCTGTTCATTTCATTTTGAATTCTGTGAAATTTAATCAGAACTTTAGAATTATATACCAAATAACTCAAATGTGGATTGACTGGACAGTCTTGAAAATCAAATCAAATCAGTGCATAAGCAAACAGATAAACTATTATTCAAAGCTTAATTGGACAAAGAAGATTATGTGATTTTGAAATAATAAAGTCAGATGAGAGTAAGAAAGATCTTCATAGCAGATCATTTGATATGTATGGGTAAGCAAAAAATAAAGTTATATTGTAACTACAAAAGAGGTGATTTTGCTTGATGTGACACAGTACAATAATGGGGTTTTAATTTCTAAGTAGCTTAAGATAGTCTTTATATAATAATGTTGCCAAGTTTCTGAAATGGAGGCAAGGAAAAGATATGGTTCGGTATGATATCATGTGGACATTTTGGTATGGTATAGCAAGGTTTAACAGTTTATTGAAGGTGCCAGCAGTGCTTTAAAAATAGGGCCAACAGCATGTTAGGAATAATAAGAAATCATTTTGAAAATAGATATGGCAATCCTGCACTCAAATGTTCATATCTAAATCAATGATGCAACTACATCTGGAATATTGTGTGAAGCTCTAAAAAAGATTTAGAAGAGCCAGAAAGATTCAGAGCAGAGCAACTAATATGATCAAGTAGCTTCCTCATGAAAACAAGGTTGCAATATTTGTGACTTTTTAGAGCAGAAAGAAAGCAAATGAGTGGGAACCTGATGGAGGAGTATAGAATTATGCATGGTGTGCATAAAATGGACAAGAAGAAGCTTTCCCCAAACACTAGAAACAAAGATCATCCTATGGAATTGAATCCTGGAAGAATCAGGACAAACAAACAAAAAAATTTTTCACACAATATATAATTCTACTTCAAAAACATTTGCCATGAGCTATGGTGCCATCTACAAGCTTGGCTGGCTTAAAAAAATAAAGTTAGTCCAATTAGTGGAAATAATGGGGATCAATTGCTATTAGCCTTATGCAATTGGTTGGCCATGATGAGAACAAACTGCTAGACTGTTCCAGGAGTACAATACAGCTGGGCACTGTTTATGCCTGCAACATTGGAGTAATCTGATTCAAAGAATAATTTACAATTTCAAATTTCAAAAAATCATTTTCATCCATTTTCATTTCCCACACAGTAATCATTAGAGAATAGTATACATCCATATGTGCTTCATTCTATAAAGCATAATTTACTCTGCTGTATAACTGTTATATAATTTGGAATACAGGTATTCCTCAACTTATGACCACAATTGAGGCCAAAATTTATGTTGCTAAGTGAGAAATTTGTTAAGTGAGTTTTGTCCCATTTTACATCTTTTCTTGCCACATTTGTTAAGTGAATCACTGCAGTTGTCATAAAAGCAGCACGGTCGTTAAGTGAATCTGGTTTTCCCCATTGACTTTGCTTGTCAGAAGATCGCAAAAGGTACACTGCAACCATCATAAATGTGAGTCAGCTGCTAACCATCCAAATGTAAATCACATGGCCATGGGGATGCTGCAATGGTTATAAAAGTAAAAAATGGTCATAAGTCACTTTTTTCAGTGCCGTTGTAACTTCGAATGGTCGTTAAGCAAACTGCTGTAAGTCAAGGACTACCTGTAATATATCCATATTCATGTAAGTTATGTATCCTATTTTTAAAAATGAGTATCTTTTGATGTTACTAAGCAGGCTTGCTATAAGTAAATGAAACAAAGCAGGATTTATTGAACAGTATTTTTCCAGATGTAATGACACCTTGGAAATATATTTACAATTACAAATAAGTTGGAAAAACTGGGATGTAAATTATTTAAGTGTTAATTTAATGTACTTTTGAATATGATAATCTTACTTTTTTTCTGCATTGTATTTCTTTCTAGATAAGATTGTCTGCCGTAAATGCAGTGAAAATTGTAGGTCATGCACTGAATTTCATACATGCACAGAATGCAGATATGGTCTAAGGTAAGGAAATGTTTGACTTTAATTAACATAATAGGGAAAGAAGTTTCTAACATTTCAGAAGAAAACAATATTTCACATTATATTTAGCTTTTAAGTGAAGAATTTTTTCAAGTTGTTTGCAAATATTTTTGCAAATACATTTATTGTCCTGGTTTAATCATGGATTAAAAAACTTTTAGTATGTAGAACATAAAAACCACTGTATTCTCATTCTGCACTATGTCTAATATTTAAGAATTATCATATAGAAAAAATAATTAATAATTTGTTTTTATAACTATTTCCATATCTTCTTCTGTGTTTTTTAGGTTCATAATAAGGCTAAATAATACAAAAATCAACAGTTGGAAGACAAAATAGGAAAGATTTCTTTAAAGGGCTAAAATTTGTAGCTTTGATGTCTGCAACATATAACAATACTTATTTTTCATGGAAAATATAATCTGAATGAATTAGCTATTGCTAGATGATAGGTACAAGAAGCAATACTGAAACAACTTTTTTTAAAAATTGAAAAGATACATTTAATTCCACTCCAACTGAAGAATTGTGTTACTCCTTCACCACTTTACTTTTCTGGTACATACTATATATACCGTATTTATCGGCGTATAACACGCACTTTTTCCCCCCTGAAAATAGGGGGCAAATGATGTATGCGTGTTATACGCCGATATAATGTTAAGAAGCCTTCGGTGAATGCTGCTGGGATCGGGGATCAAGGACACAAATGAAAGAAGGGGAGGGAGGAAGCAACCGAAGCCTGTCCTTCTCTCTGGGTCAGCTCTCTCAGTCGCTCTCTCGCTCCTCCACCAGCACAGGAAGAAACTGCTTCAAAGAAGCGGGGGGGGGCTTTTCCTGTCGCCGCAGCTTCCCTGAAGCGCCCGTTTCTCCCCCACCCCCACCCCGTCCGCCCGCCCGCCCGCCCGCAGTGCTCCGTTCTGCCTGCCTGCCTGCCTTCGTTAATGGTTGAATCGGAACAGCTTCGGCTGAGTAAAAGAGGCGAATAGTTATTATTCTCAGCCGAAGCTGCTCCCAAACAACCAGAAACTAAGGCAGGCAGGCAGGCAGGCAGAATGGGACACTGTGGAT